GCAAGCACTGCATGGAACTGGCCGAACGCCTGTTTACACATAACAGAATAGCAGACTGTTCACAGCCTCTCTATTTTTTCAACGCAAGCGAAAGACGAGGCGAGCGAAGAGAGCGCGAACGCGAAGCACGAAAAGGTGGGGACGGGGAGGCGAGCGAAGCCACAGCGGACCCCACACAAAACAGAGACGCCGCTTGTATGGAAGCCCCGTGGCGAAGCGAGCCAAACGAAGAATAGCTCCCCACGGAGCTCCCAACGCTGTCAAGTCTCCCGTTTTGCGCTGGTGTCCAGTTCCGCGATTTCGTCGCGATTCTATCCACGCGTTCAACGATCGAAAAAAATACGAGAAAAAAGAGGACTGTAAACAGTGTATGCGCAACAGTCGAAATGTAAGGATTTGTATGGGGAAAAAACGGTCATATTCTTAAGCCTAAAAAATACAACGGATTACGAATAAAGACCAACCAACCTTGCTTCAGGATTGTGTTCCCTTGTTTCACGTGAGGTTTTTTTTAGGCCGATTAATGGCCATTTAGGTGGTTTTTAACTTCACTGCTTTGTCTTCTATCCTTCTTTCCATGAAATGATGAAATAGGCCAAATGGACAACAAAAACTAGAGAAGGTGAGTATGTTGATTTATTTCAGTCAAGAGAAGTAACATTTTATTTCATCGCGCGATTTTATCCTTCGTTATTTTAAACTTCATACAAATGCCTTATAGAGCGCTCAAATTCTCAGCGGCCCAAAGTGTAACACAGCACCACGCACTTTAGGTGGTCACGTCCCACTCGATACGCGTACATAAATCATTATTATTATATGGAGAAGAGTGTTTTACTGGGAACTAAACCACTCGTAGATTCCATACGCCACTTCAACTTGGCTGGCCAACGCACCCAATTTAATCACTGTCTAGTGTGTCCGGATGTGTAGTGGAGGCAAAATAATGGTTTTGCATTACTACACTACACTGCTTCGTCTGTTTTATCTCATCAGAAGTAAAACCAATACAGGTCGTGACTCGTTTGCACGCGTTTTCCCGCGCTTTACGTCAGTTACGTAATTACTTCGAATTTTGATTAGTTCACTGCAGGGCTGTACTTAGTAAGAGGCAAACAGTCTGTTGTTTTTGTGTTTGTTTTTTATGGTCATCAGAAAGACCCTAAATACCTAGGAAGAGAATTTAACCGTGGACATTGCCTCAATCATATTTTTTCTGGCTACGGCCCTGCACTGTATTGCCTTTGTCATTTGTGACTTGCTAGGGTGATTACCTTATTCTTGAGTTACGACACTCGATATTGGAAACCGCCCTATCAACTAGTTATACTGTTTATAGCAGCCTAGATTTAGAATGGCTTTTGATTTAAGTATACGAACACAATGGGACTTTTGATATTTGCTTATGAGGTCTTTGTGGGTACAGTCAATTATTCATTTCTTCTTTATTTTCAAGCATGCTTCTGGAATTTGACACAACAGGATCCTGCAAAGGAGTTTTTGGAAAATTAGCAAATTCGTAGCGTAGTATTGATCCGTCAAAGCATAACTGCTGGACAGTGCCGGAAACTGTTGCCAGCCGGATCGGATTCCATAAGGATAAAATTCACTGCAAATGTAATGTTTTTCGGTTTATTTTGGAATGCGGTATACGCGGGCCGATTATATTGCCTCGTCTAAATTTGGTTTTGTAATCTTCCAGATGAGAATGGATCAGTTCAGCAGATTTGGAATTTGAGATGGACTGTTATGTGTTTAAAAAACGTGTGTTTCCATGAGATGTTCTTCAAACGACTCAGTTAAGTTCAGGAAAGAAGAGATTTCCGCATTTATATATATTTAAAACCTACTTTATTTGGTTTTACTAAAGCAAGATAAAAAGCAAAAATGGTACACGACTTATCAGGAGCTCAAATACTAGTCTCTATATTAAGCACATAGTATTGATTTCCTTCATTCTATTACACCATGTACACATCTCTTCTCTTAAGAATTCTGTGTTCTGTCAACATCTATAAAAACCTTACAATAACTGGAGAGAAACTAAAAAGCTTACTTTAGTTTGCAGACTCTAATGTACATTATTTTTCTGTCCGTCTATCTACTGTATATATATTTTCTTGAAAAACTGTAAATGCATGAGTAAATAAAGTTGGTGTTGTTGTTATTGTAAATCTATTTTATTGTCCTGTCTCGAGCATCTAATTCGTGATTGGCGACAAGAACCTGCGAGTCGAGGTCTTTCATCTCCATTTCTTCCCGGTCCTTTTTGTAACAATTAAATAATTTAAAGTCTACTTTCTGAAATACAGTAAGTACTAGTAGTTATATTAGACNACTGGAAAATGGCTGAAAATAGCAATTCCAAGCGTCTAAATTTCAAAATTTCCCGGGGGAGCATGCCCCCCCACATCTCCTAGGGGGTTAGCAACTTCAGCACTCGAAAGCATGCCCAAGCCCTCAGAAAGCATGCCCCCAATATGCCCCCCAGCATGCCCCTAGCCCCTTGAAGCCCCTTGAAGTAGCCAAGAAGTCTTTTCCTTCATTCAGAGTCGAAATGTGATGCTTGAAAAGTAACCTTAAAGTAATCATTAAACCCACTGACCGGAGAAATGCTGGCTCTGCATAAGAATTCCTAGTGCTGAAAAGTGTTCGAAGTAAGTGCAAAGCATACAAGGAGTAAATTTTATCCGAAGAGATTCTTAATTATATATGTACTGGACTAAAACAGCAAGGAACCTTCATTGCGTGAGAAATAGTAGTTTCAGCGTGAGAACGAACGATTGAATTCGTTTGTGTGAGCCTCATGCTCAATGCTTGAGACTTGAGAG